ATATATATGCACCCAACATAGGAGCACCGCAATATGTAAGGCAAACGCTAACGAGTATGAAAGAGGAAATTAATAGTAACACAATAATAGTAGGAGACTTTAATACCCCACTCACAACTATGGATAGATCAACTAAACAGAAAATGAACAAGGAAGCACAAACTTTAAAGGACAGAATGGACCAGCTAGACCTAATTGACATCTATAGGACGTTTCACCCCAAAACAATCAACTTCACCTTTTTCTCAAGTGCACATGGAACCTTCTCCAGAATAGATCACATCCTGGGCCATAAATCTAGTCTTGGTAAATTCAAAAAGATTGAAATCATTCCAGTCATCTTTTCTGACCACAGTGCAGTAAGATTAGATCTTAATTACAGGAAAAAAATTATTAAAAATTCAAACATATGGAGGCTAAACAACACGCTTCTGAATAACCAACAAATCATAGAAGAAATCAAAAAAGAAATAAAAATGTGCATAGAAATGAATGAAAATGAAAACACAACAACCCAAAACCTATGGGACACTGTAAAGGCAGTGCTAAGGGGAAGATTCATAGCATTACAGGCCTACCTCAAGAAACAAGAAAAAAGTCAAATAAATAACCTAACTCTACACCTAAAGCAACTAGAGGAGGAAGAAATGAAGAACCCCAGGGTTAGTAGAAGGAAAGAAATCTTAAAAATCAGGGCAGAAATAAATGCAAAAGAAACTAAAGAGATCATAGCAAAAATTAACAAAGCTAAAAGCTGGTTTTTTGAAAAAATAAACAAAATTGACAAACCATTAGCAAGACTCATTAAGAAACAAAGGGAGAAGAACCAAATTAACAAAATTAGAAACGAAAATAGAGAGATCACAACAGACAACACCGAAATACAAAGGATCATAAGAGACTACTACCAGCAGCTCTATGCCAATAAAATGGACAACTTGGAAGAAATGGACAAGTTCTTAGAGAAGTATAACTTTCCAAAACTGAACCAGGAAGAAATAGAAGATCTTAACAAAACCATCACAAGCAAGGAAATCGAAACTGTAATCAGAAATCTTCCAGCAAATAAAAGCCCAGGACCAGATGGCTTCCCAGCTGAATTCTACCAAAAATTTAGAGAAGAGCTAACACCTATCTTACTCAAACTCTTCCAGAAAATTGCAGAAGAAGGTAAACTTCCAAACTCATTCTATGAGGCCACCATCACCATCACCCTAATTCCAAAACCAGACAAAGATGCCACAAAAAAAGAAAACTACAGGCCAATATCACTGATGAACATAGATGCAAAAATCCTTAACAAAATTTTAGCAAACAGAATCCAACAACATATTAAAAAAATCATACATCGTGACCAAGTGGGTTTTATCCCAGGAATGCAAGGATTCTTTAATATCTGCAAATCAATCAATGTAATACACCACATTAACAAATTGAAAGATAAAAACCATATGATTATCTCAATAGATGCAGAAAAAGCCTTTGACAAAATTCAACATCCATTTATGATTAAAACTCTCCAGAAAGCAGGAATAGAAGGAACATACCTCAACATAATAAAAGCTATATATGACAAACCCACAGCAAGCATCACCCTCAATGGTGAAAAATTGAAAGCATTTCCCCTGAAATCAGGAACAAGACAAGGGTGCCCACTCTCACCACTACTATTCAACATAGTTTTGGAAGTTTTGGCCACAGCAATCAGAGCAGAAAAAGAAATAAAAGGAATCCAGATAGGAAAAGAAGAAGTGAAACTCTCGCTGTTTGCAGATGACATGATCCTCTACATAGAAAATCCTAAAGACTCTACCAGAAAATTACTAGAGCTAATCAACGAATACAGTAAAGTTGCAGGATATAAAATTAACACACAGAAATCTCTTGCATTCCTATATACTAACAATGAGAAAACAGAAAGAGAAATTAAGGAAACAATACCATTCACCATTGCAACAAAAAAAATAAAATACTTAGGAGTATATCTACCTAAAGAAACAAAAGACCTATACATAGAAAACTATAAAACACTGATGAAAGAAATCAAAGAGGACACAAACAGATGGAGAAATATACCGTGTTCATGGATTGGAAGAATCAATATTGTCAAAATGGCTATACTACCCAAAGCAATCTACAGATTCAATGCAATCCCTATCAAACTACCAACGGTATTTTTCACAGAACTAGAACGAATAATTTCACAATTTGTATGGAAATACAAAAAACCTCGAATAGCCAAAGTAATCCTGAGAAAGAAGAATGGAACTGGAGGAATCAATCTGCCTGACTTCAGACTATACTACAAAGCCACAGTCATCAAGACAGTATGGTACTGGCACAAAGACAGAAATATAGATCAATGGAACAGAATAGAAAGCCCAGAGATAAATCCACGAACCTATGGTCACCTTATCTTTGACAAAGGAGGCAAGGATATACAATGGAAAAAAGACAACCTCTTTAACAAGTGGTGCTGGGAAAACTGGTCAACCACCTGTAAAAGAATGAAACTAGAACACTTTCTAACACCATACACAAAAATAAACTCAAAATGGATTAAAGATCTAAATGTAAGACCAGAAACTATAAAACTCCTAGAGGAGAACATAGGCAAAACACTCTCCGACATAAATCACAGCAGGATCCTCTATGACCCACATCCCAGAATTTTAGAAACAAAAGCAAAAATAAACAAACGGGACCTAATGAAACTTAAAAGCTTTTGCACAACAAAGGAAACTATAAGCAAGGTGAAAAGACAGCCCTCAGATTGGGAGAAAATAATAGCAAACGAAGCAACAGACAAAGGATTAATCTCAAAAATATACAAGCAACTCCTCCAGCTCAACTCCAGAAAAATAAATGACCCAATCAAAAAATGGGCCAAAGAACTGAACAGACATTTCTCCGAGGAAGACATACAGATGGCTAACAAACACATGAAAAGATGCTCAACATCACTCATTATCAGAGAAATGCAAATCAAAACCACAATGAGGTACCATTACACACCAGTCAGGATGGCTGCTATCCAAAAGTCTACAAGCAATAAATGCTGGAGAGGGTGTGGAGAAAAGGGAACCCTCTTACACTGTTGGTGGGAATGCAAATTAGTACAGCCACTATGGAAAACAGCGTGGAGATTTCTTAAAAAGCTGGAAATAGAACTGCCATATGACCCATCAATCCCACTTCTGGGCATACACACCGAGGAAACCAGATCTGAAAGAGACACGTGCACCCCATTGTTCATCGCAGCACTGTTTATAATAGCCAGGACATGGAAGCAACCTAGATGCCCATCAGCAGACGAATGGATGAGGAAGCTGTGGTACATATACACCATGGAATATTACTCAGCCATTAAAAAGAATTCATTTGAATCAGTTCTAATGAGATGGATGAAACTGGAGCCCATTATACAGAGAGAAGTAAGCCAGAAAGATAAAGACCATTACAGTATACTAACACATATATATGGAATTTAGAAAGATGGTAACGATAACCCTATATGCAAAACAGAAAAAGAGACTCCGATGTATAGAACAGACTTGTGGACTCTGGGAGAAGGCGAGGGTGGGATGTTTCAAGAGAACAGCATCGAAACACGTATATTATCTAGGGTGAAACAGATCACCAGCCCAGGTTGGGTGCATGAGACAAGTGCTCGGGCCTGGTGCACTGGGAAGACCCAGAGGGATCGGGTGGAGAGGGAGGTGGGAGGGGGGACCGGGATGGGGAGTACATGTAAAACCATGGCTAATTCATTTCAATGTATGACAAAACCCACTGCAATGATGTAAAGTAATTAGCCTCCAACTAATAAAAATAAATGAAAAAATAAAAAAAATTAAAAAATAAAAATAAAAATAAAAAATAAAAATAAAAAAAAATAAAAAGCAGTGACATTACTTTGCCAACAAAAGTCCATCTAGTCAACTCTATTGTTTTTCCAGCGGTCATGTATGGATGTGAGAGTTGGACTGTGAAGAAAGCTGAGTGCTGAAGAATTGATGCTTTTGAGCTGTGGTGTTTGAGAAGACTCTTGAGAGTCCCTTGGTCTGCAAGGAGATCCACCCATCCAGTCTATCCTAAAGGAGATCAGTCCTGGGTATTCATTGGAAGGACTGATGCTGAAGCTGAAACTCCAATACTTTGGCCACCTGATGCGAAGAGCTGACTCACTGGAAAAGACCCTGATGCTGGGAGGGATTGGGGGCAGGAGGAGAAGGGGATGACAGAGGATGAGATGGCTGGATGGCATCACTGACTCAATGGACATGAGTTTGAGTAAACCCTGGGAGTTGGTGATGGACAGGGAGGCCTGGTGTGCTGTGATTCAATGGGTCGCAAAGAGTTGGACACGACTGAGTGACTGAACTGAAATGAGAGTCGGCAAGTCTATAGAGGCAGAAAGTAAATTCATGGCTGTCAGAGGCCCAGAAGAGCAGAGAATGGGGAGAGACCACATGAGCACAGAGTTTCTTTTTGGGATGATGGGAATGTTCTGGAATAGATGGTAGTGATGGCGGCCCAAGTCTGTGACTATACTAAAACCCACTGAATTGTACATTTTAAATGGGTGAACTGTACAGAATGTGAAATATAGTTCAATAAGGCTTTTAAAAGGGGGAAAGGAGAATGTCTCTTGATGAAAGCCCAGACCTGGCATGAACAACCACTCACAAGGAGGTGATACAATACTCTCACCTTCCAGAAGTTGTGTGATGGTGGCAGCGTGGGGGTGTGGGGTGAGCTCTAAGTGCTGGAAGGACACTGTAGAGAAGTCCCCGAGCTGTGTGTGGCAACAAGTGGTAACAGCAGCATCTTGGAGACGTTACAGAAAAATTGGGGGATATACAGGGACAGGTATCACCAGCTAGAAGGATGGCCTGGAAATATTAAGAGGCCTGCAGAACTATTTCATTATCGCTGAAGATCAAGCTCAGGCAGCCCCCCACGCTCGTTGGGGTGCGGTTCCGTGGATGGAGACTCACTTGAGCGCTCCCCTCGGGGTGCCGAGAAGCCCAGACTTTCTGAGGAGGATGAAGACAAGGACTCGGTGGCCAGCTCAGAGTAGCTCATTTCATACAGCACTGGGTCACTTCCTCGAGACTGTGGGGCGGAGGCTGAGAAGCGGGTCAGAACTGAAGCATTCACAACCTCAGGATGGGAAGTGGAGCTTCCTGCTGCACCTGCAAAGGGCTCGCTGCCGGTGGAAAACCAGAGAGTGGTGCTCTCTTCACCTCTGACTGGCGGGATGGACCGAGAGGAGATTTCTGTCTGAGACACAGGGCTGCCATTCCCTACACCAGAGCCACTGGCCAGCTGGGGTCCTCTGGAGGCTGAAAGGTGTCAGACACAAAAAGCCATTACATGGATGTAAGAGAGATCCCTCCACAACTAAGACATATAAGTCTTTCCTAAGAGAAGGTGCCCTTTGCAAGGACCTTGTACAGTGTTTATGCTATATGTGTGACCTGACGTATACTTTCATGTTCTAAACAATTATTTCAAAACTATTCAGTGTCAATAAGAGAGCAATACCAAAAACTGGTGAAGGGTGGAGCTTTTAAACAATATGTGCAAAGTCTCAGAGTAACTTAAAGGCCTGAGTGTTTTATTCTTTCCCCTAAAACATGGGGAAGTATGAGCCAGTGAGTATGCTGCTATGTCCATCAAATACAATGTGCCCAAATATTAAGGTTTTCAGTATTTTCCTAAGGCAGTTCTATTATTTATAAAGATTATTCTAATTCTGAAATACAGCCAAAAAAAAAATCAACTATGGGGGCTCACTAAAACCATGAACTTGAGGAGTATATTTACATACTCTGCACATTTTATTTGTGAAGATGATCTGTACATAAGATAACTGAAGCTGGCTTTAAAGAGCGGCCAGCTCTCAGTCTGAAGGTGAAGCTGCAGAGCCACAAGATGCATTAGCACCAGGAGCTCGGAGGTGGGAGTCTCAGCTCTGCGGTGAGTGAGATAAAGATCACGCGCTCACTACTTAAACCAGCTGAGCCTCAGCTTCCTCATCTACAAGAAAGCAGGAGGAATGATGACCGCTTGACTAATTTCACAACATTGTCATGAGGCTGAAAATCAAAATGTGATAATGTGGTCTACCAGATAAAGGAGATAGTGTTATCCAAGAACACAGTTGTCTTCTTTTTTTTTTTAAAGATTACAAATGGTCTTGAAGTGACCCCTTGAGGAAATTCAACAATTTTAAAATGTCCATAATAAATCAAATAGAGATTAAAGACTTACTTGGAGAATCATTTTGCCAAAATTCCCTTGAGACGTTGGAAGATGTAGGACCAAATGCACTTTCTGTGGACAGCTCTGTGAATGCCCCATCCCCTGGGCTCCTGAATACTCCACTGCTTCTTCTCAACTCTGCCTCCAAGGGGGAAGAATGGACTGATGATGAAGTTGTGGCAATTTCAGAGTCCTCGAGGAAATGTTCTGTCTCATTCAGAGGTCGCAGACTGATAGCTAAAGACTGGGGCGTCCTTCGGACACTGTTGGGGAACATGGTGGCAACATGGACACTCTCTGTCCCACTCACCGAGGAGCTGTGGACAGCAGTAGAGTTGTTTAAATCCTCTGTACTTCCAGAAGCTAGAATGGAAGAAAATAGGATTTAAGACTAGCCAGTGTGTATCTGGATGCAAATGATGTTAATTACATTTTGGCAGATGAATATATGTCATGTGGATCTAATAGATAAACACACCTAACACACTCATTCTCCCTCTTTTCACAGAGCTAAGTGGAGAAGCCTGAGATCCTTCACTGAGCACAATGAAAGCTTCAGATCAAGCTAGGAGGAAGACAGCAGAAGGCCTCTAGACCCGATTTGCGTCAGTCTATATAGAAGAAGCTAAAAACTTCTGCTCTTGAGTTCCACCTTATAACTTATATAGGACAGGCCACTGTGACACAGTCTGTGTTTTGTTTTGTTTTAGCCATGTAAGCCTTTTGTTCAAATGCTATTATAGATTAAAGCCTATATCTAAAAATGCATAAAAGTGGGTGTATTACAGGGGACCCAGTCACCAGCAAGGAGGCCTTGGGCTTTCCACCCACAGTCGGAACAATGGTGGCCTAGAACAGTCATTTCCAGCCTTGCCACCATCGATAGTTCTTTATTACTTGCCATCTCAGGGCTATTGTAAAACTGACATTTCGAAAGACTATTAACCAAGCTGCATTTATTAAGTAACAGAGCTTCTAATCAGCAAGAGATACTCATCATTACCCCACTGATTTGATTTAATTCCACCCAAAAGCAACAGGCTCCATCCCTGGAGTTAACCTCATGAAGCTTTGGAGACTGGCTCACACAGTACTCCAGTGGGTCCCAAGGACTCCAGGTTGGGAACAGTGTTTCTGATGAAATGGATGGCAGACACTGGACCAGTTGTCAAGAGCCTCAAGAACTGAATAACACATCATTGGTCAAAGTGGACAGTCTGCTCTGCAGAAGTACAGTGGCTTGCTGGTGGTTCCCTTCCACAACGAACTTTCCAAAGGACACCCTGAGAAATGACCTCCAGAAGGGTGCACTGAAAGCCTCATTCCAAACAGGAATACACTGCAGGGAAGCTTGGTGAGTGGGCAAGAAGACCCAGAGGCAAGAAGGAAGAGTGGTTTTTTTCTCTTCTTAAGCCAAATTTTTAAAAAAGTACTCTCCATACCTATAAAATGAAAGGCTTCAAATTGTTAATTATGACCCAGGAAAGGAAAAAATAAAGTCCTCATTATAAACATTTCTTTGAAGACCAGTCCAGTATGCACTCATAACCAAAAGCACAAATAAAAGTTATACATAAAGAGCGAGCACAGGAAACAAAAAGGCTCCTTTTCCTTTTGTACAAAGCCACAGAACCAGGTATACCTAGAACACAGGCTGTGGCTCTGGTTGCTGGACCTTCAGGGGGACAAGGAAGATGCAGGCAATCCATAAACCTAGTAATTAGATCAAAGGAATAGAGAGACCTGGGAACAAAAATAGCTGCAGTCTATAGCCATCCCTCCTAGGAACAAAAACAAATGGACCTGGGGATTTTGAGCACAAGCCATCCATTCTTCTTACTTAACCCTGAAATAAACCTTTCTCTGCTACAAACAAAAAAGGTTCAGTATTTAGAAAAACAAAAAAAACAAAAAACCACAACACAGACATGTCCCAAATCCTCAGTCATCTACTTAGCTTCTTGGGCCTAACTTCACTAGAGTCACCATCTATATCCACCAATCACAGCCCCATCGGATTGCTGAGTGCTCTTTCAAAACACTTTTATTCCCAGTAAATTGTGTTATTTCATCGACTTAGTGCACAGTGACGGTTTTATTGGACTCAGCCTGAATACCTGTCCAGCAAAGCAAATGGCCTCAGAAATACAACCATAAACATCACAACCGCTGAAAGTCACAAAAGGAAAATGGCTAGGTTTCCCCTGACCCTGAGGCCCCATGGAACACTGTTTCACCATTTCATTATCATCAGTATTACAAGCTGACTTTTCAACTAATAACAATATGCCACTACTTTATGTACACCTCCACACACTGTGCTACCTAAGACTTTATTTGTATAATCTCATTCAATCCTCACAGTAAAGCTACTAAGCCGTGTGAATACTTCTGTAGAGTTGGGGCTTCTTAATAAAAGGAGAAAAGGCTTGGTCAAACTAACCTACAATCACCACTTATGTTACCAAATAAGGACCTGCTGAAAACATCTAGGGAGAAATGTACCATGTTTCTAATCAGCAGACCAGCACTACTGATTATTTAATAATTGCCCTTCCTTGCTCATTTTCTACCCTTGAAGCAGCCATTCAAAAATGAGAAGATCATCCATTTGGGAGCAGAAATAAGTTAAATTCCCTAATATTTATAATAAGAGGTGAAAAGAATGCCTGCTCTTCTGGGGAAAGAATATGGGTTCCTCTCCCATTACAACACAACATACTGGAGCCTTGGGCACGTATTACGATGCTTGCCCTCGACTTGGCTGCGATCCAGAACTTGCCAAAAATCTGGCTGAAGCAGCTGATATTTGGGAAAGGTATTGCTAAATCTACAACCTTCTGAGTTATTTATATTCTCTTCCTCTACAAAGTGAAATCACCACAAAGCTATTTACCTGGACCATATCAGCTCAGCTGCCCACAGAAACACTTTCATGAGTTGAGATCCATTACTACACCCTCAGCTCCTATTGAGTACATATAGAAAACATCACCTTTTAAAGAACATTAGCACAATTTCCACAAAATGGCAATTGAAGGCATTTTCTATTATGATCCTCAATATTCGTTATATAAAATTCCTCTTAGAATGTACTGCCTCCCCAACACTGAAGCCTATGGATGAAATTGTATTACTCACTTTATCTGACAATATATCATACCCCACCCAGTTTCCCTTTGTGCCCTGGTTTCCAGGAAGCTCGGTACTAAATTTAGTGCTCAACTGTAGCCACTCACATAATTCAACATACACATACCTCTTTTCACCTTTAAAAGAGAACTTTTTTCCCTATTAGTTGACTTTGCTTACTTTTCCCCCTAATTATCAAATAGTACATGGTCATTCAAGAAAATAAAAAAGTAGAAAAGGAAAAAAAAAAAGCAGGAAGCAAAAATAATTTCAAATGGCTTCTGATCTCTTCTTTTAAAATCTGAGTTAGCTGTCTAGGCCTATACTTGATTTAATGCATATATTTATTAGCATGTAATTTATTTTTGGAAGCAGTCAACCCCTGGCTACCCAAGCCTCAGAACGACTATGTTGTGTGTACCTTTGTGTGCAGCAGAATGAGAAGTGAAAGGAGTCGCAGAATACAAAGGCTGATGTGTCTGGAATAACAGATGCTGGAACTAGAAGGATCTTCAGGATCAGCTGGTCTAATCCCTTCATGTTTCGAATAAGGACCCCCATCCTCCCCAAGCCATACTACTGGCTGGCCATCCTAGCACTCACCTAGTGAGCAGCATCAGTCTTCTGACTGACCCAAGTGCAAGGACTTTCACAGGGTCACATTCACTAGTGACAAAGCAGCCAAGTGTCACAAAGTATACGCCTCCGCCATACTCCCCCTTGGCTCCGATTCCCCACGGAGAGGCCAGCTGAGGGAGAGCCAGTCTGTGTCTGGCAAGTCCTGCTGGCTTTCTCAGCACTCTTGCCAGCATGCCTAGAACTCCTAGATGCCACAGTCAGGAAATCTACATCTCAAGATTCAGGTCTCAGGGGAGGTAGGAGATACACTAGAGCTCTGGTTAGCAGGGACCAGCCCAGCACTCAAAATAAAGCAGAGCTTTGGGACTTCCCTGGTAGTCCAGTGGTTAGGCATCTGCCTTGCAATGCAGGGGATGCAGGTTCAATCCCTGGTCAGGGTACAGAGATCTCACATGCCAAGGGGCACTAAGCCCATATGCCACAACTAGAGAAGCCTACACATTACAACAAAGACCCAGCACAGCCAAAACACAAAATAAACAAAAAAATTAAGCAGAGCTTCATCTCCCTCATGGCTTCAGGCCCTTGTTCACGTCCGCTGTACATCCCTGCAACAGGATGGGGCTAGCAGGCTAGATCCAGATGGCTGGCAGTCACATCCTGAATGCCTGGGTCTCCCTGCATTGAACAGCACCCCAAGTCCCCTCCAGTATCTTAGAGGGAGGTGGGACTCTACCTAGCACAGAACAACTGGTTCACTAAGAAGGAAGAGCAATGCTCAGTGAAGGATTTAAGGAAGAGGAACGATATGTCAGACCACTTCAAAAATTAAAAGCATGAGGTTCTAAAAGGATGAAGGAATTGGAGTGCTAAATATTTTTCTGAAAGTATAGATGACTACAGTCAAGGCCAGTAGCTGGAAACATAGACTGATTTTCACATATACCACAATAAATATACCACAGCAGTGGGTTGAATTTAAAGTATAAATATTAAATGACCCTGACCAGAGTCAAGTTTAGCTTCCTAGAAAATGCTTCCTTTCCACCATTCCGTAAAGTGGTTCTTAAACCACCGAACCACAGGACTTTGAAGCTGGAAAGGATCGTAGCTTTTATCCAATCTAACCAACATTTAAGAATAATTTTAAAAGCAATCCCCTAAAAATATGAATCATAAATTATATACATACCCAGTTGGCAGGAAACTGTATAGAGCATATGAAAGGGGAATGGGCTGCTTTCAACAGGTATTCCAGAGAGGATCTCCATTTTCACTTTGATGACATAAACCTGAACCCCTAGTCCTGTAAAGTATTTCTAATATCTTCTGAAATGGCAACTTCTGAAGCCATCTAAGCTCCATTTCACAAGGATACTTCCAACCCTCTCGGCCCTGCTCCCTAAGACATGGAGATGAAAACACAGGTAGCACGCATAGGCTCAGAATGAAACCTCGTAGAAGAGAAACGGTGGGCAGAGTTCCCAGCACTGGCCTGTGGCCGGATGAACCCTGTAATATTTGGCACATGTTCATCCCCTTACTCATCAACTGTACCTCACTGTGGGGCAGAGGAACCTAAGAGAAGTAACAGACACAATCTGTGTCCTCAGAGGATTATAGTCCAGCTGGGCAGAAGGCTAAGATGGATAAGGATAAGCTAGTGTGACCTGGTGGATGGCTTGGAGAGTTGATGAAAGGCTCAGTGGAGGTGGAACACCTACATGGAGACTTAACAGATGACCAGTGGTTGGAACACAAAGGGCCCCACGATCCACCACTACAACCTTGCAAACACCTGCCTGTTTGGGTTTTCTGATGCCCAGAGAAAACTGTCTGTTATCTTTGCCATTGAAAGAAACATTTTTGCAATAATGAGGAAATACAAATATAACTCTCTATCGAATGGCACAATGTTCACCATTTTATTCACACTGGAACTGGTCTCTTATGCAAGAACACACACCAGCCACATTCAGTCTTGGTTGTGTGCGTATGTGTGTATGTAGGGGAAAGGGAAAAAGCAGGGCCTGGTGGAGAGAAAGGTCTAGAGCAGCTACCAGACCAACTATTATTTTCTTCCTTGTACAAGTAAAGAAAACGCATTTTAAAGATGAACTTCAGCACTGAGCTAAATTGTGCAGGTTGTACTTTTAACCCCCAATACTTTGCACTGGTGCTGAGTCTTTCCTCTTAGCCCCTGTAATGAGTATGTAACTGGCTGGACAATCAGGGCTGTTTATTTCTATTCTGCATGACTTCAGAGGGTGGAGCTGGGACAGAAGCACTCACATGAGAGATGGTCAGAGGGAGGGGAGTAAGCTGATGTCCTGGAGAGAGGTGGCCAGGAGGGCTCTTGTCCTGAGGAATTTCTCCCCCTGGGGAGTGCGGTCTCTTCTTCCCCCTCCACAGCAGGGAGAGAGGACTGGCTCAAAACTGAAGTGGCAGCCATTTGGGTGTGCACAGTCACGTCTTCAGGGAGCCCCTGCCCCCTCGCCGGGGAACCCCAGGATGTTCCACTCTCCATGTAAAGAGGGGCAGTTCTTGCTTCTGAACTGCTGGATGGCGGGTGACGCTTTCCCAAGGCTGAAAGTAGACAGTGACAATTAAAATTCCACCAGCAGACTTCCAAATGTCTGAACCATCTTTGAGTAAGCTCACCTCTGACCTCTATAAAACAGACACCAGAAGAAATCAGGAGCAACTGTTCATTCTTTGAAAAATTTCCTCCTGAAGCAGAGACCAGAGACCCATACAAAGGCTGTTTTCAGATCTCGCAAACAAAGACTCTGTATTTTATGGTAAAATTATCAACAAAGGAGCACAAAGAAGCTAAATATCAGACAACATCAGGACAGACAACCTGGAACCAGAGGTCAGTTTTGGATCTTCATGACACATCACTCACATTCCACAAAGCTGGTCCCAGAATTTACTTAAATTTAAGATAAAATTTCCACGATCCGAATGACCAACAAACCCAGGCAGCATCAAATACAGTTTCTAAGCTCTGTATCCATCTTTCACAAATAGAATGTAAAATACGGCCCTACACACTCTTTACAGAATTGAGTCCCACAACCAGACCTCCCATCACTGGGGTGGGATGGGGTCACCTTTGATGGTTTCAGCCTCTTCTTTTAGGTCATCACCAAAGTGTATCAGTTTTCCTTTGTGAAAAGCCTTTACTGATTCCTTCCTCTCCATCCCCAAAGCCACGAGACAATACATTAACACCAGGCCATACATTAGCACCTGGTATCTGGATTTCTGTGTCCGTTTGAGTGGTCCCCAGGATTCCAGGTTACTTCTACCCCATCTCCCACCCCAGACATTGTCTACCCATCTGCCAGATGCACCTTCCCAAATTCACTTTAACCATGTGACTGCCTTGTTCAAAAATCTTCAGTGACATTCCCCATCACACCAAATCAAAACTGCTTGGTTTTCAAAGTGCTGGATAATTGTGCCTAACCCCACCCACACAACTGTCCTATCCGCTGCTCTTCTCCTCTGTGTGTGACTTATGTCCTCCCCAAGGGAGGCTGCTGGCCTCACCACCCAAAGAGGCCACATTCTCTTCCGTCCCCTGTATCTGCGCTCACATGATCCGGGCATGCCACTCCTCAGCCACCCCTCCCACCTTGCTCAGATAACACAGGCTTAGGCTCAAATCTCAGCTCTGAAACCTGTTAACTGTCTGATGGACAGACATTGGACTGATGGATTTCTCTAGCTTCAGTTTCCAAATTCCTAAAATGAGAGTAATGTGACCTCATCACTTGCTGTGAGAACAGAGAGATGGGATATGTTGGTACTGAGTGGGTATCTAGCTGAGTGCTAGCTTTCTTTGTCTTCACTTCTTCAATCAAATCTTGCTCATCCAGCCTGAGCCCCTTGTTGAAATCCTTTGCTAAAAATAGCAAAACATTTTGTGCTGTGCAGACTGGCACAAGAACAACCATCTGAGCTTCATCAATACAAACAACACAGCCCAGCAGTCCACCAGACCTGGTACCTAGGAGACGGCTGAGTGTGGCAGGACCGCCAGTGTGGTATGGATTTGGTATGGCCATGGAATGTAGATTCCACAGGACTGGTCAGGCCACTCAGCAAATCTGCACCCTCCCCTGGTCTATACTTACAACTCAATTAACCACAATGAGCCACAGGTGGAGCCTAAGGAACAGTGTGGTCCACTTTGTCCCAGGACCCTTGGCTGAGCATCGTGACTCAGGATGGGGGAAAGGCAGAGACCATCAGATATTTGGTTTCCCAGGACTGGATATACTCATTATTATTAGCATAAACTCACCTAAGGTGCTGCTCTGAGAAGTCAGAGTTGTTGTTCTTCCAGGCCCGTAGGGGGAAACGGTGAAATCTGTTCTCCTTGAAGAGTCATTTATTCCTCTAGCAGCTGCTGTTTCAGTTTGTAGGGTGACGTTTTCTGGAGCATCCAAAGAAGGATGGCTCTTCCTGGAGGTGTGCACCATGACACCCTCTTTGGAGACCACTGTTGAAAAGTCCACTTGATTCTGATCAAAGGTAAAGTTTTCTGTTTGGGGTTCAGTGTTGCTTTCTAGCCAGTGGTTTTCTACAAAAGTTGAAACAAGAGGAAAAATGAATCAGTGAGAACTTATTGCCTTCTGAAAAGAGCACTAAACCTTCAGAAAAGGTATGTAAGTACATACATCAGTGGAGAAGTGGGTTCAAGGAAAATAATTTCACCTTTCTTTTTTCCAACAGTAATTATTCTTGCAATCCAGGGGAAGAAATTAGAAAGCAACAATATTATAGAGGATTAAATTTTATAATAAACAGAATAAGTAATGAAAATTGGTAGAGACCAATTTGAAGTTATTGCTGACCACATGGCTCCTTGAAAAACCCATTTTTATGTTCCCATTTTGGAATGATATTTTTGTTTCTGCTTAGGATTGAGGGTGGTGTTGAGAAAGCTTTGCAGGGATGAATGAAGTCACTTCTATCTATATGAGTCAGGCAAAAATGGCCAACAATTGAACTGGCAAATGTTGCAGGCAGAACCTATAGTTCAACTCCAAATAACACACACACACACCCCCCAAAGGAGCAAGGTATCTTCCAGATCAGCCCTGTCCAAGAGGTATATAAAGTAAGCCACAAATGCAAGCCACATAAGTAACTTTAAAACTTATAGTAGCCACATTTTTAAAAGAAATGGGTGAAAATAATTTTAACAAATATTTTATTTAGTCCTATATATTCAAAATAATACTTCAATATGTAACTGATATAAAACTATTGAGATATTTTGCATTCTTTTTTTGGAATTAAACCTTTAAAGTCCAGAGACTAATTTGCCAGCCACACTTCAAGGGCACAATAGCCACATGAGGCCACATAGACAGTGCAATTCTAGAGCAGAGGTTCTCGACATTGTCCCCACTCTGATCCACTCCTACCTGAAGCAATGATGCGCAGACTGGAGTTGGAGGGGTGCTGATTATAAATTCTTCCATAAAGAGATTCTGATGACCTTTCCTAAGGGAATCATTTCCTCCCCAGACCCCTTGAGAATTACTTTTTCCATGCTTCCTATTCTGTTTCCTGTAAGTGATAATTAACAGAAGCTTCCTAAGGAGGAGGGCGTTTCCGAGGCATCTGAGCTCCCCTGGGGCCCAACCCCAGACAGGCAAGGTCCACACTCAGCTAGAAATGGGATGTGGAGTGGAGTTTCCGGGGCAGCTGCCAAGTACACAAGTTCACCGTGGGACTCCAGGGTTATGGACAGCAGTGAGCGACCCACACAGCATGTAACCTTTGTTCTTCCTCTCTGAGCTGCAAAGGCCAGCTGACCTCCCAAGAGGAGGGAAAGGATCTGAAGATGCCTTCCCTACCCTCTTGGTCAACTTGGCACAATGAGATAAGTTATTCTCAAAAGAAGACAGAAAAAAGTGATTGTCAGGAGGCAGAAGGGACTTAAAAACCCCTGCTCCAAAATTGGTAAGCCATGAGCAAAGGGAAAGAAATGAAGTTAGCTCTATTTACAGTCTGCAGATGAGTGTGAGGCTTGGCCAACGGTCAGCATGGCTGAGCCTCTGGAAGCAGCAATGTCCCCTTCAGGGAGCAAGAGATGGGTGCCCCAAGATCCAATCAGCTCAAGGAATTCCAGTCTTCAAAAGGAAAAGAATGGCCACGTGAAGACAGGACATGGCTATCACTGCTGTCTCCCTGGAGGGTTGACTAAAAACAGAAGGCAAGAAAAATGCACACTATAAACAAAACTAAAAGGTAGACTATTGTCCTGCAGTATCCTGAATAACCCTGCCACTAACAACAACTAAAAACGCTGAATAAAATGTTTTTTAAAAAATACTTCTAAATGCATTGCTGAGTTAGCAAGCAAATCTGGTGAGGTCAAAAATGAACCGAGAGCTGGAATTCAGAGAGGTGAGGTAACTCCAAAGCTGGCAGCTGCTCCGGGGTGCCTGCTCATCATTTGTGACCTTGAACTTCTGTCCTGATGGCCACAGGGATGCAGGAGATAGGAAGGGAGCCTGAGAGGAAACTCCTATACGAAGTTGGGACCAGGGCTATACCTTGGGTGTCAGGCAAGTAGAAACAAACCACCCCTGCCGAAGAGGACAGCAAGAAATCTGGCCCCTTAATCTTGGTTTTAGGTGAAAGAAAAATAACTCACCCAAGAACTGATAACCATAAAGCTAGCCCTTATGTGGGTGTGCAGCACATACAATACCTGTGTGGTCTAAACCTCAAGCCAAGGGTGTATTTAAAAGTGATCCTACAGAGATTATGATGCTAAGTGAAGTAAGTCAGGCAGAGAAAGACAAATAGCATATGATATCACTCATAGGTAGAATCTAATTTTTAAAAATGATACAAATGAACTTATTCACAAAACAGTCTTACATATATCAGAAGGAAACTTACAGTTATCAAAGGGGAAACATAGTGGGGAGGGATAAATCACACTGCTACAAACAATACAGGCAACCAACAAGAACATATTATATAGTACAGGGAACTCTACACAATATTCTGTGATAACCTATAGGAGAAAATAATCTAATAAAGAATGAATATTTGTGTAACTGAATCACTTTGCTCTACACCTGAAACTAACAACATTGTAAATCAACTATACACCAAGAAAATTACTACAAATATGTTTTAAAAAGTGGTCCTGAACCTTGTGAATATACTAGAAACCTCTGAATTATATATAGGCATGCCTCATTTTATTGTAACTCTCAGATGCTGCATTTTTTACAAATTCGAAGTCTATGGTAATCCTGTGTCAATAAAGCTTATTGGTACCAAAAGCATTATTTTTAACTAAAATATGTACACTGTGCTTTTTAGACATAATGCTATTGTACACTTAACAGACTACAGTATATTTTAAACATAACTTTTAAATGCACTGGAAAACCAAAAATTTCATGTGACTTGCTTTATTGTGATATTCACTTTATTGCAGTGGTCTGGAATTAAACCCACAATATCTCAGAGGTATGCCTGTACTTTAAAATGCTGAATTTTATGGTATGTAAATTATATCACAAACCACAGACATACACACTGTTAACGGTGAGGAAAAAGTGGTGCTGATATACAGTGTCTCTGAGTACTTGGGAGGAACAAATGTGAATGATCTTTAGGTGAACATATCTTCACCTTATTTTTATTTTATTATTTAAAATTGGATAAAATCCTATTTTATAAAATTGGATAAAATCCTAAGGAATAAGAAATCACAGTAAAAAAAAAACAAAATAAACAAGAAAAAGGCATTTGTGGGCAAAAGTCAGCAAACTAGACAAGCAAAGACTTCAACTACTGGAATTATCAGACAAAGAATGTAAGTAAATAAAACTCCCTGAAGATAAGAAAAAATTGAAAATGAGAGAAAAAGACTATAAATAATGGCTAAAAATTGAAAGACATCTGCATGGAAACTCTAGAAATGAAAAAATAATCATTAAAATTAGGAAACTCAACAGCAGATTAGATACGGCTGAAAAAAGAATTAAGAATTAGAAGACAGATGACAAGAGAATGCTGAGATGATATGAAGAGATAGGAAATATGAAAAAGAGGTGAAGAGACAAGAAGATACAGTGAGAAAGTACAACATATATCTAACTGGAGTTCTAAGAGGGGAAATAAGAAAAATAGTAATATTCAAAAAGGAAATGGCTAAGAATTTTCCAGAACTGATAAAAAGTATATGTCTTCAGACTAAGGAAGTCCAACAAATCCTTAGGAAGCTAAATAAAAAGAAATATAAGCCCATATCACAGAGAAAGGGCAGAAAATCACAAACACTAGGTCTTAAAAACAACCAGGAGGAAAAAATGACAAAGCATCTACAGAAGATGATAATTCAAATAACAGTTGATTTCTCAATAGCAACAATGGAAGCCATTGTGGATAAATATTTTTAATGTGCTGAGAGAGAAAAAACCAGAATTGTATGCTTGGCAAAACTATATTTGAAAACTGTCTTGAAACTATCTTTCAAAACAGAAACATTTTTAGTCAGATTTGGGTTAATCAACTACCTCCACTAAAGGAAATGATGGAGAATTTATTTCAAGTAGCAAAAAAAGCAATTTTAGGTGAAAGCTATAAGGTACAAGAAGAAATAATGAACAAAGCAAATGGTAAATATGTGCGTAAAACCAAGGAAACACTGAATTTATAAAACAGCAATTTCTCATTTGTCGGATTAGAAAACAAGACAGAGCAAACATAACACATAAGTCAGGTGGGACGATCAGAATCATGTTGTGTAGGAGAAAGGTAACTTTAAGCTGTGTCAAAATGCATTTTAAAGCTAACCCTAAAGAGTAAAACTGGTAGAGCTTGGAATGATACAAAATTTCCACCAAGAGAAATCAGTGATTATAGCCTAAAACCAAAACAAACAAACAAACAAAAAAATCAATAAACAGGGACATAAGCATGCTACTTAGAGATATGGACATAATTCCTAAAAAAATCGGTTAAAAGGGCTGAAAGTGGGAAGCAGAAAATGATAATGGTACAAGTGGTCAGTGTTTTTTATAATAGCCATATAAAGCGTACTCAATCTTTAAACCAGGCAGAAGTTTGATAAAAATAAAAATAAAATAAAATTTTATAAAACAAGCCCCTGATATCCCTGGCCTGGGATTCCCAAAGAGCAGTATCCCACTGCCCCCTGCTTAACTCTGGAGGTGACTCTACTCCCTTTAATGCAGATGAACTATTTCTCAGAAAAGGGATTCACAAACCACGCAGGTGGGGGCAGGCAGAGCCCAGCCCACCCTCTCTGCTAGTCAAGGTCTTGATTGTGATCGGCAAGTGCTTTGCACCATTCCAGGCTGTATCTCAGGAAAAGCAATGAGTCAAGTGCTAAAATATTTACTGAAGTCCAAGGACGACTCCTTACAGAAGCCCTCGGTTGTTTAGGGTTCCTGTGGCTAAATTTTGCTTGAGGTGTGCTCCTTATTTAGTGCAGGTATAAAAACCTGAGTGGGAGAGCGATTCAGAGTAAAGTGAACAGGACTCTACAGGAACCTACCACATGCAGGGGCAGGTATTGGG